AAATGGTACTCACTAAAAGTCTGATAAGTTACTTTACCTTCAGTAGCTGATAGTTGAGTTTTGATGACTTCAGTTATTGCAGGTGAGGCAATTACAATAATTCTTGACGTAGATACAGTCTGGTAATTGAAATTTGTGTTGCACATCTGCTCATTCAGAGAATTGACTGGCTGGATTATTGTCTTGTTAGAAGAGCGAGCGTCACACTTTTGTTTACACTTATTTGTGCTGCAATGCATATGGCACCCATCTAATCCCCCATTGCACTTCTGATCACACTCTTTCCCGCAGCATTCCAGATTACATATTCTAGCATCGCAATGTTGCATATATTTACCGCTGCTCACGTAGCATTGTGCATCGCATGTATCTACTTCCCCGTTGCATTTCTGCCCGGGTATATCGTGGATTGGACTTCCTGTAATGTGACATTCACCAGCGTCGCACACCTGTCTACAATTACTGGCGTTGTATTGCATGTGGCATTTTTGTACTTTCCCATTGCATTTCTGTTCACACTCTTTCCCGTTGCATTCTAAATTGCATCTTTCAGAGTCACAATGCTGCTTACAATTACCGTTACCCCCGTAGCAATGTGCATCGCATCTTCCTACAACTCCGTTGCATTTCTTTTCTAGTGTATCTTCGATTGATGCACTTACTGTCATGAGACATACTTTAGCATCGCACGTCTGTTTACATTTGCTCGAGTTGGAATGCGTAATGCATTCTTTTACGTCCTTGTTACAACTTTGAACACACTCTTTACTGTTGCACTTTAGGTTACATCTTTTAGCGTCACAAGCTTCTTTACAATTCTTTCCGTTGCAGTCAAGAGAACAGCTGTGGTTGCCTTTATGGCACTGTTGGTCACAGTTTTCTTCCTCCTTAATACATTCCCGTGAACATGGCTTTTCGCTGGAATCGCAGATATCTTGGTCGAGTCTGGCATATCCTGGAAAATAGATATTTGGAAAGAATGTAACAAACAAACAAACAAACAAAACCAAAAAGATGATGAGAATCAGTCTCGCCATCCTTTCTAAGTTATTTTTTCTTTTAAAGAGAGATACGACATTAAATCACTACGGTTTTGCTATCTCAATCTAAAGGACTGTGTTGGCTGAAAATCACTAATTACTAATTGACACCACAGCACTGAAATGGGATTCACAAGTACGCTTCAAAATGATCTTGCTGGGGTCTTTACAATTTTACCATGACAGATGGAAATCAAAAGGAGGAGGAGTTTTCATTTATTTAGAATTATTTGCCGCACATTAGCAGCAACGAAAATTAACGATGGAAGCATCAGCTTTGAATGGTAAATTATTTTTGAAGAAGTCTTTAGATCTAAAGCTCAGAATGAATCATTTTATGCCTCCACATTTGGTTATTTGTATAGCGCTCATATCCTTTGCTCAAGGCGATTATTTGTGACATCAATATCTACAAAATCTTTCTAAAGCCCGCAACAAAACATTGTTTTTGAAATACTGTTCCCACTGATACTTTTGGCAGAAATGGAGTATCTACAATGTTGACTATAGCTAGGCACTCCCTGGTTTGATTACATTGTATTTTTTCTGCTCTATGGATCGCGATATAAAGCGCAACTCCGGCCAATACGAGAATATATTTTCAGCCAACTAGCCGCCAAAGTTTTGGAGGTTTTTTTTCTTATCTTTTCTTCTTTTTTTTCTTTTTTTTTTTTTTTTAGTTTGAGTGTTTGTCTCTTTTTGTAAGAATTCCACCACTAAAGAGTTATCCGACTTCCAAAAAAAAAAAAAAAACAGAGATAAATTCGTAATTTAACGAATACACATTTAACATTTTAATTTCTGTATAAATTAGATTTTACAGTAATGCAGGAAATCAGAATCTGACTGACGCAGTTCCCGTATTAAACTCATGTGCAAAAAAACATTATTCTTTTATTATCATTTTATTTATTCATTTTCATCTTTTAAGAAATCACATTTTGCACGGGCAAAAGCAATTTTATATCCTGAATAAAGTCCAGCTCTCACGTTGAGACAAGTGGAAGTAAAACGTCTCAGCGTTTTTCTTAAGTCCGTCACGACAAATTCATGAACAAAAATACTTTTTTAGGGGGAATGCGTTGTAGACGGCTCCTATGGGCTAGTGTCTGAAGTCTATCTACGATGAATTTTCCTTCCCAATTCCAAAAATTACTGCGAGAAGTGTTATAGTGAGGTCACCACTGCTGGAGAGGTTCAATTTTCTCTCTGTATTGTGTCAATTCTTCAACTGTCATTTGCACAACGACAGGAGGCTGATAAATCAATAAAGAGATAAAAGCTAATATTTCAGATAGAAGAAAGAAAGGAAAATGATATTTCCTTTCTCAGCAGACACCTTAATTTGTAAGATCTAATTCAACAAGCTTGAAATAAACCTTCGTTATTTAAGTTACACCTTAAAAAAAACTACTTAAGTTGGATTGGTCTTATAGCTAACATGAGTTATCTATAGCTCAGTAATATAAATAGACCGGTTTCTCCATTTACGCCTATGTGATACAGGGAGATGAGAACTTCAAAGGTTCTATATCTCTTCCCGACCTTATTTTTGTCCAAAAGCCATCGTGAGGGCAAAATCTTCGAGTCCCGTTAGGGAACTCTGATGAAGCTATTCTTTTCGGAGTATGCTTGTGGTACAAAATGAACTAAGTTTATGTTCATTGAAGAGCTTTGGTACTCATCCAACAAGGTTATTGATAAATACAACTGTGTCCCATATCTGACAAGCTTTCGTTAACATCTCTCTTTCTGTGTAGCTTAAGTTTCTGTCAGCGTTACGTTCAACCAACTCTTTTTTTTTTTTTTTTTTTTTCAATCTTTATAAGCTGAACAGTATCAGTTCGGTAGGAATTCTTTTTTTAAAAAACTTCTATTTAGATCAGTCTCGTGCTGAAAGGATAAGCTTTCCTCGTTTGTTGTTCTGAGTCAAAATCAGCCTTCTTTTGCCAACTCATTATGCAGGAAATTGAATGTAATGCAAATTTTTGACATCTTATCCTCGATAAAATTCAAATTTAAGAACCCTTTGCACCTGTTAAAATAAATATGAAAAAATAATCAATTCATATCGAAAGATACTCTTTCACTACGTTCTTCATTGCTCTTTCAAAATAGTAAAATAAAAAAAAAATTTATCCCTAAATCAAGCTCAAGATAGTAACTTTTTGGTATCAATTACAACAGGAACTGCAAATGACACTCTTGCAGTCAACTATTCACTGTGAGTCTGTTTACTTAGCTATTTAAGCAACAACGTCGGTCTTTTTAGAGCATTAGCATAACACGAGCTGACACGGAAAAAATATGGTTTTACCAAATTTCTCATTATTCAAATGATCCCTAGTGCTCAAATGATTTTTCTGGATTACCTTTCTCTGCCATTTCGACCCTGGTCTTCTCTATAAGTATTTCGATATTGATTCCATCATTTTCTCTGGATGCATCAGTCTGGAATTTCGAAGCATGATGAGCAGAACCCTTGAGCAATGCCACCACGACCTTTAACACAAAAAGGGTTAGTCATCAAAACTATCTCAAGGTCATTTCACTTTAAAACCCACCCATTCGTTTATGCGCAATTTTACTAGCTAGTTTCGTTTCGTCATGCAAAGCAAAATTAGAATGACGATTTTCAAGCAATAACCTCCTTCAGCGTCGATATTTGTCTTCAGATTAAATCTCTCGGAAAGTAAATAGACCGGTGGAAAAGAGCAGACTCTAAGAGTTTCACCTTCTTATATGGAAGAAAAAAGAATTTGTTTTTTAGTATTCAGCGATAGTTACCTTAAAAAAAACCGGTTTAAAATGCTATTCAGGACCATAAACAAGGTCAAAAATATTTTAACGATGCGCAGTATAAAAAATTATAGGAGGCATGTTAATTTCCACATTTGCTCTCTAAGCTTTGCTTTTTGGCCAAATGTTTGTGTTTCGGGCAATCTCTCATCAGTTGGCATACCAGGCGCCTGAGGTTGTTTATTTACTGCGCTGACTATATTAACTAAGTATTAAAAAAAAAGAAATAGAAAAGATAATAGAGCGAAACAAAACAAAAGAAAACAAACAAACAAAAAGACAAACAAACAAAGCAAAAACAAGAAAAAAATAGCAGTCATAGGGTGTAAGTTGACTCCCAGGCATCTTATGACCTACCTCCTCGCTCCCGATTTATCGGAAGAAGAATGAACATCTATTCACTGAGGGGGAGGTGGTTAGTGGTGGATATTTACATAGCCGCGAAGCGGCGAAGTAAATATCGACCGCTAACCAGTGACATTGACGTGAATAGCTGTTTTAGTATGTACAAAAGCAGTGAGATAAAAAAAGATATCATTCAACTTTGAATTTCAAGTGAACAATTGAGGTTACACAAGATTAATTTCCATTTGTAAACAAAACCTTTTTCAATGGTTTTTATCGATAAACTCCGGGTTAAAGACCTAAACCACTCTTTTTTAACGCTGCCAAACCAAATTTAGTCGCTTTCTTTGTGTTCTCAGGGATTGCGTCGTCATTAATTTGAGTGATTTCTTCGCTCGTCACGGATACAGACCGGGACGCCATTTTTTCCCGAGTTGCTCGGAGGTAAATCACCAAGGATATTCGGAGTTTGACTAGCCAATCAGAGCGTACCCTCAACGCTATCCACTGTTTTTGTATATACTAAATATATCTTATTAACCAAGCTTGCTCGGGACCGTACTGGAAGAATATCGGCCCTCGGTCTTTTTTGCACGGACTTCGCTGCGCTCGATCCGTACTGTCAAGACCTCCAACTACACCTAGACGAGTACAAATAACGCCATATCCAAAGTGATTGAAGGATGGTGACCGGAAAGGATGCTACGTTTGAGCGATGGAACTGATCATTAAGAGAGCTGCTTTTTTTTTAAATTTTTTTTGTAATTATTCTTCTATTTATTCTTCTATTTATTTATACATTCATTTATTCATGATCAAAATTTAACAGTCAGCTGTAACTACTACTATTACACAAGCAAATAGTATTTGGTATTTTACAGGGAGTTTAACTCCTAAAAAAGTAGAAATTGCATAATAGAATTCAAAGACGAGATAATAAAATACGTATCATAATCAATGTTAAACAGACGACTGTTTGAAGACAATCAGCCTCGACATGATGCATCATATGAATTTCCGCCACAATCCAACGAAATAGCTTGGGGCAATCATAAGAGGAACAGATACACCAATATGTGACAGACACACTATGAAGAATTCTAACATTGATCGACAGCTAGCCTCTAAGCTAGTTACGAACAATTTAGCTCGCAACTAAGGCGAAGTTTCCCATATTAATACGATAGTAAAAAAATTACATACTTTAAATTTAAAAGTTTACATTTCTTGCACTTAGCTTTAAAAAAAACCAATAAAGGCTACCGACTTTGGCAAGTTGCCTTATTATCGAATTAGAATCCTTGATCCAGATATCAGCAGTTACTGACATCTTATAAACGATTTATTTACCCAGCTAATGGTGCAATCGAAACTACCGACATTTTATTAACAGATCGAAAATAAAAATCGCTATAGATTAACTACCGTGCTTAGAATGATCGTATTAAACAATGAGACAGTTGAATTTTGTACTCGCTCTGTTGAATCTATTCTTTAATGTTGAGGGTTTTTCACTGAGCTCAAATTCATTGCAAGACTGCAATTCAGCTACCCACATATCACCAACATCGCTTGGATTAATCTGTAAATTCTTCTTTGTGGAGTTTCCACTGTTTGTAGATGGAAAAATGGTGTTCGCCTTTCTTTTGAATCGCTCTCGAATCTGCAGATAGACATGTAAGGTAAGAAAAAAAATTCCAATGCATTATTAAGTTTGAAAACCACATTCTCTACACTATATGTATGATTTTTCAACTTAACATACCTGGCTGTTTCGCAAACAGTGAAGAACGAAAATCAGGAAGCCCTTAAACAAAAAAAATTGTTTTTCAGATAAATTGTGATTTGTGATATGAATAGAGATAACTGCATTAAAGTTTTTTTTTTTCATAGGTCTCAAAAACAAACCAAAGAAATCAAATTACTTCTGGAGTCGTGAGAATCTCATAAACAGGGGAATCGCTTTCTTGTTTTAACTTTAATTTAATTCTGTTCTGTCTGGTTTAAAATTACAAGTTTCATATTATCACAATAAAATGTTTGGTTATAGCTAAGCGATAGAACGCATTTCCCTGGCCCTACTAAACGTGAAAAAGCCATACGGGATGTTGTCACAACGTGAGGAAAGCTCATAAGTCCCAAGCCAAACTCCATAACTTGATTAAGCAACCTCTTGGAAACGGAATTGACCAATCAGACGATGCTTACTATGTTCACTATAGTATAAAGTGATCTAGACACTGATAAGTCAATGTATAAAATTATGAAATGATTATATTTGATACTCACCTGTGTAGAGTTGAGGATGTTAAAAATGTAGGAAAAAGCTATGTGTAATGGCGACAAAAGACCAAATAGCCACGTGACACCCAGAAGGGGAATCATCACCACGCATGCTCTAATGCCAATTCTGAGGGACGAAAACATGCGGATTAATAGAATGCATATCTCCCTTAGCTTAGAAACATTTGTGGTAACCTGATCAATTTCAACAAAACCTCGAGGCAGCTACACGTAAACTATTAAAATTACATCAAAACAGTTTTTTTTTCAAATATAAAAGTTCTATCTCACCGTATTTGTTGACTTTGCTTGTCTCCTGTTGACTGCATAGTGGTCATCTCCTTAATGACTCGTACGAGTATCATCAAGTTGATCTTGAAGCGAGGAAATTATTGAATTTTATTGCATTAGGGTATGGGTGTTGCACATTTCAAATCATATACTATAATCACCGACGATGATATGAAGAGAAAAATTAATAACCCGTATCAGAAACTTACCACATTAATTGTAATCACGAATGTGACAAATATCCAAATCAGATTGTTCTCTGAGGACATCCAACAACTAAAGTGAAGAAAGGAAAATTGAAATAAAATTAAGGTAAAAATAAAAATGTGAACATACGAACTGCAGCTCTTAAGAATTTACAAAATGATACTGCATTTTTATGATTATGTGATGATAAGAATAGGGTAACGATCGGAAGGGAAGATTATGGAGAGAAAAGGGAAGATTATGGAGAAAAAAGGGAATGTGACAAAAAATAAATATATGGACTAAATAATAATTTGATTAAAAGTGTTTGGAAGATTGGTCATTTTAATTTCTCTTCCTCTTCTCTGCCCAGCCTTGGTTAGAGTTTCTGGAAAAATTTACAATACTGACATCCTTATGAGAAGGAGTTTGAGAAAAGTTAGTAAGGATACCAAAGCAAATTATAAAAAAGGCCAAAACTTCAGCAAACAAAATTAACAATGTAAGAGAAGAAATAGAAGATAAAAGGAGAAAGAAAGTTGCGCCTCTTACAATTTGTTACTGGTATAGCTTTGTATCCCTTCTTTCCCAGCAGCGATACACAGTGAAATGGCCACCATAACCAGGGGCAAATCTATTGCACAATTTTACAGCAAAAAAGTGACTTAAAATGATTCATATATTTAAAAACATAATTTACAGCAGTGAATGTATCAGGTAAGTTTAGCCGTAAAACAAAGTACCCCATGACATGACGTGATACATGTGCATCTTGGTGTTGATGTTATAAACTTTTACAACAAACAGATACAGGTTCAGAAAAGAGCCAGTGGTGACGATGATGATGACTATGACGAGAACTATGATGATGACGATGATGATGATGAGGAGAAGGACGAGGATGATGATAACGATGATGATGATGACGATGATGATGATGACGACGATGATGATGATGACGACGACGACGATGATGATGGCTATGGTGATGGTGATGATGACTGTTATGGTAATAATGACGGTAAAGACGATCATTATGAGTGAGTGTTTAGATTAATTGTTTCGATGGCAAATGATTGAGCGAGTAATGAGCAGAGTACTTTTTTTAGAATAACTAGGCTGTTCACAAGTCATATGTTGTGAGAGCAAGATAGAAGAGAACTGTTACTGCTATTCTACCTGTTTTAATCATAATGTTATTGTTATTACTTAATTGATATCCTGGTCACTTTTTAATGTGATGAGAACCGCAAAATACAAATTGACACGAAACAGTAACGATGGCAAGGCTTAATCTTAAATCTGCGTGACATGCAAATTAGAATACAGTGTAGAGGAACACTTTTTATTATATTAACACCAATGAAATAACGGGTGAGTTTTCGCGCGACTTGTGATATCGTCACAAGTGAAAATAAGGTTATCTTTACAAGTGAAATTAAAACGTTACTGTAGTGGCATAACAAACTGTGCCTTTCGCAGCAAAAGTGAACATGAACGGTTAATCTTTTTTATTGGTGTTTATATAATAAACAGAATATTATATGGGCGCTGGGAGATACAAAATTTCTCTTCTTGTATTGAAAAATATTTCACGAGTGAGTGAAGCGAACAAGTGAAATATTCTTTAACACTCGCAGAGAATTTTCGTATCTCCGCGCGGCCATGTAATATCGTCTATCATCCGTCTTTGTAATTTAGTTTGCCCTCTATCAGATTGATTATAAAATTGTTCAATTTGGCTGTGATTTATTTCAACATCTTTCATCTCGCGCCTTTCAGAGTCAGTACTCTATTATTCTGTTGGAAACGTCTTTAACTAGAACAGGAAATGCAAGTCACGGTTTTGAGTACATACATACATACATACGTTAGTTGACCGCTCCCCATGGGAGCTTTTCAGGGCCAATTCGCACCCATCTCACCCCAGGGGAGGACATCCACCACACAGTAATCTCGTGCGTAGAGAATTAACGTCTCCTACTCCTAACCCTGCAGAAGACGCCNGGATAAAATTACATTGCGAAAGATTCTTCGAGTGATAATTTCCAATACCTACACTCAACTTTGGACTGAAGAAATATATGATCTTAAAGCATGTTAAGGAAATAAATGTATTCAACAAATAAAGAAGCCTTGGCTGTGCTCTGTCCCATTGTAAAGCAAGCAGGAAGCGGCTAGAGCACGAGAGAAGTGTAGGGGGAAACGCAGTAGTAATCCTCGGACATCATACAAATTGGTAGATGGTGCGAAAACTTTAGCTACGAGCTTTGTGTTCTGATGAAATATGCTCTTTCAACCAATCGTAAATCATAGAAATGCTTTACCTTATTTTGAAGCCACTCCAAAACACGCAATGCTTTATTTTTTCAACAACCTATAAAAATATTTTTATATTACGTTATTCCCTTAAAAGCCAACTAACACAACACATACGATCCGAAATTATCTTTCGATGTTCATACTGCTACCTTTAGGTTTCTAAACCTCAAGATGACATCTTGCCGTAGTTGTTCAGGCTTGGGATCCATAGCTGCTGTCATTATCTTACTGTTCACGTACCTGTAAATAGAATTAAATCCTTCTAAAAATTACTCATGTTGTTTTTACAGTAAACGTACCTCAGTATGGTGTCAAGCTTCGTTGCAATGCATTGTGGTACCCCTTAACTTCATATTGGAGAACTCCGTTTTCTAAAATATGTGGATAAAAAGTAAGTTCTTTTTGTGTTTTTTTTCAGAGTTTAAAGAGCAACCTAACCATTGCATATTGTCTTGAGACGCACTAAAAAAGGTGGGCCATTCAATATAAACACGTTAGGCAAGAACTAATTTTTGAATATTTTATCCTTTAACGTCACCTTGAACCATCAGTTTCTTTCCCGATGGATTTATTTCTCAGAAGTAATTCATGGAGATCTTTGTACACACATCCAACAACCACTGACCCTAAAAATAAAAAAATTAGCCAGTATAAAAATGTCCTCTGTATAACCCTATACCATGAGATTAGTCCAGCTTTACACGTATTCCAAATCCGCTACGAGCCAGACGCAAGTGATTTGCACATTTTTCGAGTTTTCCTCCAACGTCTCAACTAGGTCATTAAAGTCGAACTTTCTGCGGGTTTACCAGTGCAATTAACGATGGGTTTCGACTTATCTGGGCGTTTGTATTTTCTAAGCTATGTCACCATTTTCAGTTAAATTTTGCTTGTTGACTAACCGTAAAAGAATAAATAATAGAGCAAAATCCAAAACAAGATATTGTATAATTTAGAGTTAAAAATTTGGTTAGCACAAACCATTCTCAGCAAAATCTTTTGCAGAAATATTAATACTAGCTTGCCATTCTTCCTCCTTGAGGAAGAAGTCAGTCCCATTTATTTCAACTCACCCATGTTTTGACTAGTGATTTTTGCAGATGGATTCGTTCCACTCAGATGGTATTTACCATAATTAAGAGCAAATTCCTCGAAGGCGACTGCCACCTCAAATATGGATCCTATTTTTGTTTCATCTTCTTTATTACTCAGTTGGCCTGCATGGGGTTTCGTGATGTTCAGAAGGTTATCGGTGAAGTGTTGAAATACACGCACAGCCTCCTGTGAGGACAAAAATACTCTTTAGTAATGTTATTATGAATTGAAGTACCTGGCAATACATTTACCCCAACAAAAGCAGCTGGAAGTTACAGATAAAAAATTCCACCAAGGTGATAATATTGGTAATTGATAGGGCTTGGATTGATAGGGTAATTGTTGGCAAGTAAAGAATGGCTCTCAGTTGAGACTCGCAGTCCCGTTGGCTCTCTTTTAAGAAAGAAAAAAAACTTTTTGACAGATCAAGATCGAAATTAATCACCATCATCATTATAGTGAAGTGAAAGAGCTGCCCTTCTTTAGAAGAGGTATCCCTGTCTACATTTTATTTCAATTTTCATTGACGCGCTTAAACTCCTATGTTTCGTTCTATGTTTAAAAGACCTTTGAAGCTTGCGAAATTGCTGCGTTTAGTTGCAGACGTAATTTTTTTAAAACTATTGTATATACAATTTCTAAAGATTATATAATCATGTGATAAATGAGCAATACATGCAATCATACCTTCAACGAATTGTTTCTCTTGATGTCTATTTCAGTGAGTTTAGAAATAGAATGATTTGCCTGTGATGAAGAAACACAAGAACGTTGGCGATTGCCAGAGGCTATGAAAATTATAATTACAAAGAGAAAGAGGAATTACAATACTCATGTACCTACCAAATTTCTCAGTGCTTCCAATGTCAATGACGGAATATTCCAAGTTGATGATGGCGGAGATGACGATGGTGACGGAAATAACGATGCTGCTGCTGGCGATGATGATGTTGATGACAAAGAAACTGATAATGTTGTTGATGCTGATTCTGATGATGGATTAAGTTTTAATTCTGCAGTTTCTGATGCTTCTACACCTAATGACGATACTGCTGCTGCTATCAATAAAGAAGGTGATAATAAAGATATTGATGGTTTTGTTGATATTATTTCTGATGATGGGGTTGACTCTGATTTTGCTGTTTCTGATGCTTCTACACCTAATGACCATGCTGAAGACGATGGTAATGGTGATGGTAAAAGGAGAGGTAACCGTGACAACGACTATGATTGCAAAACAACTGGATGTTGAGGAGAAAGCAAGTTATTAAAATGAAATTAAAACCAAAATTGGAAATTTATCGTAAAGCATAAGAGTATGAACCATTAAAAAAAAGTTAATATGAAGAATCGCGAACACTCCAACACAAAAAAGTATTATATTTAAAATTCACTTAGTTAATTTTACTCACAACAAGTATAGGAGTTTCCTGTTCGTTGCACTGTTGGAATTTGAGTTGAGAAAACTTGATCTGTTGTAGAAAAGGCAGGTGTGATGATATTCGAGATGTATAGGTCTGAAGTGCTGCAGGAGCCATTTAGACATTTAGTGCACCTGCAATGTTTACCTATGTCACAGCGGGTATGAAAGACTCCCTTCGTGAAAGGCAATGAGTCGTACTTGGGCATGAGACTTCCACAGCATCCACCACTCCCACAACATGTGATCTCACCCTGAGGATTGTTAGGCCAGCTTCTTACCATGTGGCATGTGGGACTGTCGCACGTTTGTGTACAATCGATAGCGTTACAATGCATGCTGCACACTTCTACTCCATTGCTGCAATGCTGTTTTTTGCACTTTCCCCCGCTGCAGTTAAGTTTACATGTTTTAGCATTGCAAGTCTGTTCACAATCCCCTTCGCCACATTCCAGATCCATTTCACATATTTTTACTTCATCAGAGCATTCCTGTTTTTTGCACTTTCCTCCACTGCAGTTCAGTTTACATGTTTTAGCATTGCAAGTCTGTTCACAATCCCCTTCGCCACATTTCTGATCCATTTCACATATTTTTACTTTATCAGAGCATTCCTGTTTTTTGCACTTTCCTCCACTGCAGTTCAGTTTACATGTTTTAGCATTGCAAATTTGTTCACAGTCACCTTCGCTGCATTCCAGATCCATCTCGCATAATTGAACTGCATTGTTGCAATTCTGTTTGCACCCTGTCGTCTTGCATTTCATAAAACAAGAGTTATTGCCACTGTTGCACTGAAGTGAATTGCAAGGAGCATTATTATTATTATTATTATTATGACAATCCGATGTACATATATTTTGGTTGCATGCATCATCGCCCAACCCAAGGCCTGAAAAAAAAAATAAATACATAAAGTAACACCAATGATGATTACCAGTCATGACAATAACTATGACAAGAAGAGTCAGGCAAGACTTTCGCTGGTACAAAGATTTAGGCAATTGTTGAATATAACAAGCTTATAGTTTTCATGGAATTTACCGCTACAGCAAAGTGAGCACATAAACATATTGTACTATATCTTATTAGACGTTCTGTTGTGTGGTATCGCTGCCGACCTGAATTATCATCACTCAGTGAGCATAATGAACTCGTGTCCTCATGCCGCCACAGAAACGAATCGATACTGCGCATGCATGCGTAATAACCGAACAACGCATTTAATTCTAACGCCACGCCTCTTATGCAAATTTGTGTAGTATATAAGCGATGGCTACGAATATTCTTATCAAGAAAATCCCCTGATGAGTGAACAATCACGAAACCGGCCCGTGGGGATGAAAGCGTAGTCTTCGATCGTTTTTTTGTAACGCAATATATATATATATATATATAGGCAAACTATTGTAGTACACGAGGACGGACAACTTCGAGCTAAGAAAGACATATACTCAAATAACAAGTCTAAGAAAGTTTAATAAAATACGTTTCGGTCCGAGACCTTCATCAGTTGTAATACAATGACTTACAAATTCCTTAAATAGATTTATAGGGGGCGTGATGACACATACAAATAAACACAGTAATTACTACGCAAAAAATTATCACAATAAAAAGAAATGGAAGAATTGTCGAATCCACTGAAAATGTTAAGGAACCAGCGTTGACTTGAAGGCTTGAATAAGCGCCAGGAATTTCACTCCATTT